CCTCGTTTGGTGGGTGTGTCAGAGGTGACTGTTTTAAAAAGGCAGTGACACAATGGATTCTAAAGTTCTCTACAGATGCTGCTGTTGGAAGCTGCTATTCCAGACGGCAGAAGCAGAGACTGTAACATTCAGCCTATATTGAAGCATTCAACACGTATTTTAACCCACATCATCTACCTCCCAGATTTTTTCCACGAGAACGCCAAGAATGACCTTCTCCGCTAACATTGTTGCAACACTTCGTATCAYGAGGTGTTCAACGCACCACTGTTTACGTTTAAATAAAGCTTATGCTRCGTTTGCTACAGCCCTGGCTTTTGTAGATGATGCAGAGGTGTGGGMGGGACTACTGATGAGGTGCTTCAGGAGCTTATATATATATAAAAAACTCAATGTGTCTCCTTTAATTCTACGTCTCCGTGACCTCCTGATCATTTCTTTGTTTTATCCCCTCTCAGAACCAGAGGTCAGGACACTGCAGAGGATCCAGATGCATTTTACAGCACAGTCAAAAAACCTTCTGCTGTTTAGACCAACGTCTGGAAATCAYTTTAGTCCCGATGGAAATATCTCAACAGCTGTGGGACGGATTTGCATYRAWGTTCCTACAACTGTTCATGGTCCCCAGAGTATGAATCCTACTTTGGTGACAGTCAGACTGGAGCATCATTGTTTAAGTGAATGTTCAGTTTTAAGTGACTTGTCTTGTCAGCTAATGGATAATTTGCCTCGAGGATGAATCCAAACGACTTTGGTGACTCGACTTTTATCTGAAATTGATCAGCAACTTGTAGAAGTTGTTAAAACGCCACATTTAGCCTGAGTGAAAAATNCGACTTTTATCTGAAATTGATCAGCAACTTGTAGAAGTTGTTAAAACGCCACATTTAGCCTGAGTGAAAAATATCAAACATTTTATAACTTGCAGCTTCAAACATGAAAAAACCTGCGGTGTGTCAGACAGTCGACAAACTGTCAACTTGTATTTAACTTTTTTCTTTTTCTAAATGTATCTGAACAAGCATTGTTAGTTAGTTGTAGTGTTATACTGCTGCCACTAGATGTTAGTAAAGAGTTGTACTGATAGAAAACCACATAGAGGATTCTGTAGATTTCACTTCTTTCTGTTTCTACATTTTTTTCCAGCGTTTCCATCATCAACYGATTTTATCCACTTATTTTACCACATCATTAACTCGTCCATCCCTCTCGCTTCTTTATTTCTACTGTTATTTCTCATATATGAATACGTTTTTGTAATTTGTTTTTATTTGTGTATAGATTTGTTCTCTCTTTCAATTAATTAAATAAAAATGAAATTTAGTTTTCTTACTTTTCTCTTTTCTCCACTGATTCATGTTGCTGGAAAAAAATATTAAAAAAGAAAACTTACCTCAGTTTATTCTTTTTCTCTTTGAAAACATTGAATACGACTCAAAAAAGAATCCTCACACTTACACCTCATGTCCGCACAAAGGTCACAACTACAGCTTCATTTTAAGGAGTCACAACAAAACAGGTCAAATGAATATATATAAGTTCTTTGTTGGACTATTTATATATTTTAATATCTGTAATATTCTCACTTCAGTCATTTATTTTCTTATTTTCCTCTCAGAGTCAAGAATCTGCAGCTGCTTCGTACAGCACAACCAAAGAAAACCTGCCCGACACAAAGAGAACCTCTGACTGGTATTCAAATCAAGTGATTTGTTTATTACAGCAGGAAACTACACATATAATATACGTCTTTGATTCAACAAATACAGAATCAACACAAACAAAGAATGAATAAAATACTAATTTAGCTTCACAACACTTCCCCCTAATGCCTGTGATCATAAACAGAATTTAGTTCAGAAGTCAATTTAATTTTGTTGCGAGGAAAACAAAAGAAGTTCTGACTGAAACGAGACACAGCTACAGCCTGCAGCCGTTGGTGGACAGTTCCTGTGCAGCATCCTGGAGACCTTTGCATTTAGCCCCCAGGCTCGGACTGGTGGAGCACTCTGCAGACGAGGGCCAGCGCTCCACCCACGTGTCCTTCCCCAACATGTAGATGAATCTAAAACACACAGAGCAAAGACAGACAGGTTTGGTTCATAACTCTCTGGAGGAAAAAAATTATCTAAATAAAGTGTAGAATAAACAACTAAATAGATAAATGCGATGGAAATGGCTATTTTCGTATTCTT